AATGCTGATCTGTGTCCCATTTTGTAAGTCTTGTAAGATCTAAGAATGGCTCCCATTCACACAGCAATTCTCATTCTTATTTATTCATTCTGCTTTGCAAAGATTTTTGTTCAGGAAAGCACCAATTTACACGGAAGACTTGAAATTCTGTCTGTGCCACTCATTGTTGGTAACGGCAAGAGTTTTTACTAGGTATCAATTTTGTGCTTAAACTACCATTATAAAAAGCAACCGTAATGCACAAAATGAGATTAAAATAGCTTTCAGATCCCAGGTAGAAAATCACAAGTAGACAATGCTCTAGGCAAGTGTGCCCTGGCTTTTCGTTAGTGCAGCTCTGTTGGGCTAGTACTTATCTCGTGAGGATCTGCAGCTAGGGCGTTGCAGTAAGAACATTGAAGCAACGTGCTTGACTCTGAGGGCTGTCTTGAATTGTTCTCCTATTTCTCTGCTTTAAATTACTGAGATTTTAGCTGGAGAACACTTTTCCTGAGATGAGGATCTTAACCCATGTTATCGGGTCACATAACATCACATAAAAGTTATATTGCGAAATGGGGAGTATGCGGCCCCATCGGATCACTCGGTGTGTGTGTGTGTACGTTAGAGAATTAAGACTTCAGGAAGACATGTGCTAGGTTCATGCGTACCTTTTGGCAGCAGATTACGCAGGCAGGACCCTCCTGGTGCCTTGTACCCAGGTGAAGTCCTCTGCCCTCCTCTGCCAGTGGGAAAAGAGAAAAAAATTACCTGTCTAAACCGCTAGGATAGATCTGGCTTGCAGTTTCTTCCCTGTGAAGAACTCAAGTGAAGTTAGGTTTAGTACTTGCCATCTTTAGGACTCAATGCAGCTGTATGAGGTCAAGGATGTAGCCAGCAGAAGGCTACGCAAGCTATGAGACTAGTTCCCTATTATGTTCTCTTTGCCTACCTTACTGAGTGAAAAAAAACAACAGCAGCAACAATTGGAAACATGAAACCTAAGTCAGTTTACCAAGAGGCATGATGGCAGAAGGGAAATGGATCAGTGAGATGAAGAAAGGCAAGGTGAAGAGCAGTGCAGGGAAGCCAGTCCTGACATGGGAAAGCAGGTGTGAGCTGAAGCAACTGCTGAAGGAGGGAGACAGCTCTGCCTCCTCGCAGGAGGAAGCAAGCTCGAGGAGATAAGGTAAAAAAAAGAATTGGGTTGGGGGATAGGCTGGCAGGAGGGATTCAGGCAATGGCAAGCAAGTGGATCTAGAGTTTAGAGCGACGTGTGCCACGGTAGGAAGTGATAGCAGTTTTCCTGTCTTTCAGTAGTTTCTCTGCCTTTTCTTTGTTTCCCCAAAGCCAGGCTCTGGTTGGGGCCAGAGCAGCAACTGGCAGCGGCTCAGGAGAAGTAAAGTCCTGGAGCACTTGTTATTTTTGACTGTCTGAAATCGTTTCTTCTTCTTGTATTCTTTTTTTTTGTTTTTGTTTTTTTTTTTTAAGTGCCTGCCTGGTGGGTCTAGTTGAGTAGGATGAATTTTAAAAGGCAGGATTCCCATTATCCCATACAGAAGGACTGATCTGCTAAAGAACTATACTCACTTTAACTAATAATCGTATGGTCCATGTTGGCAGATGCTGTATTTGTCTTGAGCTTTTGTTAAGTGCAAAGGCTAATGCTCTTGCAAGAGGGAGGGAGAGCATGTTTAGGGCTGTATTTACCCGTCTAGAATGTGTCTTACTGTGCAATGAGAAAATATTGGAAAAAGTCTCTGCACACCTTTATTTATTGTGTAATGATGGTACCATAACAGGGGCTTAGCGTTTCCACTCCCATGTTAATGCTGATCTGTGAATGATGTAAAAGATCCCAAGATGAATATTCTGGTGATGGATGCGGTGTGAACAATGAGCTTCTGTTTATTTGCCTTTTAATTAATTCATATCTATTTAACATTTCTGTTCTTCTTGTGGCAACAGTCATTGCCATTAAAATCCACCTGTTCCAGCAGCTCCTTTCGTGGTTTTAGAGCTTTTTTCCATCTTAATGACTGGAAAAATACAGCATATTTATGTATCACAGCATAGGAATCACCAGCAGATAGAAGATCTATTTAATGGCTTCCATTGTGCTTTTTTCTTAACAATAAATTTTTATCATTTTATTTGTAAAAGAGAATTAAGCAGCACAGCTAGAACTCATGAAATGTATTACTTAGAGGTGTTTCTGTTGCTGTTTAATGCTGAAATAAAAGAAATCTTTATGGTGCTTTTCAGAAGCTGTTGCTATAGATTCTTTTTGCAGGGGTGTCTCTTGAGCAGTCATAGTGAATTGCAAATTGCTATTGCACAGTGAAACTTGATAGTTTACCTGTTACTAGTCCACCTCATTTTAAAGTCTATTGGTATGTGAACTGGGAGAGATGGAGCAATCGTTTCAAAAAAATCTCTCTCCTTTGGTAAACTTAGCACAAGAAGACAGGCTAAGACAGGGTCAGCTGGTGGCCCAAAGGCTGAAGCAGTTTTACCTGGGTGATGGCACAGCTTGCTAGTTGATAGGCCAGACAAACTGAAAAATTTGTTTATGTTTGTGTGTTTGCAAATCCATGTTAGATCTGGGAGTGTCTGTTGGGTCAATTGCAACTCCTTGATGCAGTCCTTATTTCTTAAATGAATATTTTTTAAGAACGCTTTTTTGTTGTTTAAAAATGACCACTCTTTCAATAACAAAATCAAGTGTATGCTATCATCTACTGACTGGAACCTCTGATAGTTATGTTTCCACAACTGGTCAATAGAAATGATATGAAATCTGTGTCTCAGAGATTCACAGCATCCATCAGATAAAATCAGGATCTTGGGAGCAGAGCAGCAAGACTAGTTTCTGTGGTGCAGATAAGAGTGTGTTTGCTCTGCATCATTTACTGTGTTGTGCAAACATAGCTCTTGTGCTCCAGCCTGTTCATGCTTATTGAATGTCACCTCCTCCTTTTCAACATAGGTGTCTGTATGCTCACTCATGCTCCCTCCTAGGCATCATCTTCAGATAGAGAGCAGTATTTGGGGATCATTGGGTTAATGAGAAGAATCTCTGCTCTGTTTAGTTTTGGTTTTAGGTATTTCACTGTGGAAGTCTTTGAAATCTGAGGCTAGGTTTGAGGCTGTCACCTGTATGGAGCTGTATGTACTGCTTCAGGCAGACTTCTTGGTTACTGGTCTCGCTCTTCGCTATCGTTTTCCTTGGTCCCACATGGGCTCGCTTTGATTTCCTCCCACGCGGCCCTGGAAGGCCGAGCAAGTACGGCCCCCCCACTCTCCCTAGCTCACGTGTATGCAGTGACAAATCTTTGTGCTTGCCAGCTTGTGTTGGTCTCCTTTCGTCATAGCTTAAGAACATGTCCCAGCCCTCTTTTTTTTTTATCTTCCCTCCTCCTGCCTTCTATAGCTTCAGTGAACTTTTTTCTGTTGCTATAGTTACTGTCTAGTTGCTGCTATAGTTGCTGAAATGTAGCTAGTTCCTTCCCTTACAGTTGGAGTCAATATCAGTTCTCGCAGTATCCCAGTCCAATGTTAGTCTTCACATAGACGTCCTGCCCATACTCTCTGGGACTTTTTAGCTCTTTGTTTGTGTTCCGGGAATACTGATATGCAAGTAATAAAAGCTTATTGTCATCTCTGTAATCAAACTCAGCCTTGCGCTATGCAGATCTGGCGTTGAAGTCAGTGGTAACTTGGGCCACAATTATTCCAGACCTTAAATTGATCTTTGCTAATTTTTAATTTAGTCATCAATCAGAATTTGTGGGGGCTCCCTGGTTACCTCTCCTCTGTTCTTCTGAAATAATATGTCACTGCCTTCTTGGTACTCAAGCTCCTACATATAGAGGATTTCAGGACACTCTGTTTGCTTTCCCAAATTTTAAGGAAGTACTGTTCATATCCATCAGCCAAGGCAGCGTCCATCACTGTGTTGTGAGGCAACCAGTGTTGTTGCTCCACTCTTTGCTAAGTGTACCTCTGCCACTTCTTCCCTGGCACCATCATGTCACTGTGATTTAGTGATGCTGAAGAGGGTGCTCTCAGAGTGTCTTTGTTAGGTGGTTTCCCCTTTGAGAATAAAGGGGTGAAGGTGAAACAGTTTGATTCCTAAGACGCCAGATGAAAGAACGCACTTCTAGAAAGTCTTGCCCAGCGTAGAGCTCATAGGAGAAAGTAAATTTGCCCTGGTTTTTTTTGTGTTCAAGGCTCAAGCAAAGAACAAGCCTTTGCAGATAAATTCCTATTTTCTCACCAATGGAACGATTGTGTTCAATTACACTTAGAGTAAACTGATAGTGTTCAGAAAGCAGAAACCTATAACAGCTGAAATATCGTGGTGAAACCTACAGTATATTTTGATAGGAGGCACTAAGATTGTCATCCGCAGCAGTCAGAGCTTGCACAGTGAAAAATGAGTAACTGAAATCCCTGATTTCAGTTTTAAAAATTGCAGCTTCTGCAATTCTACCTTATATGGTGTTTTCAGTTTTTTTCAGAGGTCTGTGGTAAATGGGAGGTTCCTTAGTGATTCTACTTTGTCTCATGAAATGACATGGATGTGGTTATTCAGCATTGTTTCCTGACATCACTGGGATACTTTTATTTTTTTTTTTTTAAGCAAGAGCTTAAATTTAAGTGGTTGAATGTTTACCTTTTCATGCAGATGAGGCAGGGCTGAGAAATAGCCTTTTCAAAATAGCTGCCATCTGAGGAAAAGGCTGTGCAGTATTGATAGAGAAAAGAGGTCATTGTTTTAATATTTTAGTTTGTGTTTGTCTTGCCTCATTGATTTTCTACACAGTGATATCATATTAAGCAAATGAAACAACTTAGTGATTGCAGCTAAGTTCAAACTGGTGTCAATGAAGCAGCATCCTTAAAAACCTCAGCTGTAACACTTTCTCTGTGATATTTCATTTCTGGTATCAGCTGTAATAAAATATCATCCTAACTGTGATCTGTTGCTGCAGTGATCCTTGCTCTTTCTTTTTCAGAATGAGAAGACTTTGGGGCATTCTGTGAGCCGTTCTAGTAACATCTCAAAGGTATGTTTCTCAACACAACCCAGTCTTTGATAAATTTGAGGGTACTGGGATTTCTTTTGTTTTAAAATTGGGATGATATATGTGCCAATGTGACCAATAGAAAATATTTCTTATGAGTATCTGTAGTTGATGGTCACTCTGTTGAAACATTAGAATTCTGTTATTTTGCCGACTCTCTTCACAGGTCAAATCCAATGGAACCTATAGCAGGTTTTCTCTTTTGCCCTGTCAGCCTCCTTAGCTTCGTAGGAGCCAGATAAATGGCAGATGCCTGATATCTTACCTTGGGGTGAAAGCTGCTCCAAAAACATTATTTGCGTATGTTCGTTTATTCTGTAAGCTATCCTATTTAATGTTCTGTATAAGATCCATGCGTGCCATAATATGTTGCGAGTATGTGATTAGGCACTATTTTATCGTCCCTTCAACATTAAATTATTGTTAGGGTCATGAAATGCATTGTTACCAGGGCATGACCATGCAGATATCCAAAACGTTTGATACGGCAAACAGCGACCTTGCAAGGGACGCGTGGTGGTCCACCCATTCTAGTCATACTTGAATATAACCGATATAACACATTAAAAGCACAATTGCTTTGCTATGCTGTCATTGAAAAAAAATCTTCTCCGTCCACGATAACTCATTATACAATACGAGCCCTGCTCCCACTTCTGTTTACCAAGTAAGAGAGTTTTTAATTAGCTGGAAGCATAATGGCTTTTGGCTTACAAAACTATGCTTGCTTAAAGCTTTCACGCTAGCAAGGCTGTGATGGTTGACCAGTATTTTTTGTGGGGTGCCTAAGTGTCAGCCCTTTTTTGTCACGGTCGGTGTTGCTGTTAATGGTGACTTTTAATTAGCGTCTGAATCATTATGGCTGTGACAGGCCTGGGTCACTTCCATTTTGGGTACTTAGGCATGACTAGCTTCGTATGTGCTTATCTGCAGCAAAGGAAACAGTGACTGTACTAAATTTGAAGTTTACATGGACACAGCTTTCATTTTGGGGCAGAAGACAAGATTACGAAGCATCTTAAAGAATGAGCAGGGCAACTGTGCAGTGCCTAAAGTATTGACTAAGGAAGTTACTAAGTGTTACTAAGGAGCGATGCAGGATTGTGTTTTGCATTCAGTGTCAGAAAACGTATATTCACAAAAAGGATTTTGAAAAATGTCGTGTGAGCGTTATTTCCGATTTGCACTTTTCCAAAACTGTGCTTGTTCCTTCTTACCCTTGCTCTTCTTTTCTTGGGTATTCTTAATAGGATTTTCAAGTATTGTTTGTCAGAGAGGGCTGTTCTTATCAGCAGGATTCACTGTACTTTTCCCGGGATGTATGAAATTCAGGACAGCAAGCCTTTCAGCAGCAGCAGTTTGATACACATTAGGTGGTCGCTCCCAATGGAGCCAGCTCTCAACAGAAGACACGTACACAACACTAGTTGCACAGTTCATTCTTAATTCATCGAGAGTTAGAAGGGTGATAGCGCAGTGGGAAGGACCTTGCACTTGGGCAGAGCTCTCCTTAGGGGTGCCAGCAAGCGAGATACCAATATTTGCATTCTTCTTGAAACCCTGCAAAGTTCAAAGCGATTGTTGTGTGTTGTGAAAGCTAAAGTTCTCAAGGGGAGCAAAAGCCAGCTCTGTCAGTTCAACGTAAAAGATTTTTTTCCAAACATGAGCTTCTTGGAGATATTAACGTTCTTAATGTTCCTCTTTTGCCTCTGTATCTGATCTGTTCAGCACCTCCCCTCTGGAGATAGCTTCTAACAAGAGCGAGAGGTGGAAGCGTTATCAGTGAAATCGGTCACCTTATTTGCCTCATTCCTCTGGATGCTGGTTTGTGCATCCAAACAATCTGGTGCTAAACTGCAACAATTTATTTTGCAGTCTGCAGTTGGGGTGGCTGTCACAAACTATATGTAGGATAAATCAGAAAAGGTTCTACCAATGAAATGCTGGTTGAAAGTTTAAGCATGTGGAAAACCTTTTCATTAGTTTTGAGGTTTAGAAGGAAAGTGCCTCCAACCAATTTTTGTTTAGAAGAGTACAGCAGCCTGGCCAGTAATGCAGGTTGAATGCATGTAAAGAAAAAAAGTGTCGACACGTTTGGCTGCCTTCATAGCCCCTTTGGAATCCTCTGAGCATGTTGACACTACAGTATTTTAAGAGCGGCTGTATAACCAAAGTTGAATTTAATCAATTGTGTGCTGCGTTTCTGGATATATTGATATGTATGTGAACAGAAATAATAATCACACTTCCTGCAAATGACTGCTCCAGCTATTCTTTTTACACCCAGATCTAGCTTCCTGCTACAAACACTTGGCATCGAGACTTGATTCAAAGTCCTTTCTGGTGCTGATATGTCATTATGAACCTGCTATGATTAATACTGAATATCTTTCCCCTGCTCTCAGTTGTACAGTGCAATATGAGTGGGAAGGATTGAGTCAGAACTCAGCCTCTAGCCAAAGAGAAGATACTGTGTTACAGTATGACCGAGGAAAGGATTCAATGCCCCAGGGCTAAAAGTGATCAAGGAGCAAGGCAGACAGATGGTGCTGCTAAAATTGAGATCAGCTGGTAGGGATAGCAGAACCTAACTAAACAGACCCTAAGTGCTGGGACCAGGTGGAGTCATCCCTCAGGAGGAAGGGGTAAAAAGGCAGTCCTCCAAGAGGCAGATGCTGAGAGGGGCTGAGGAGGTGCCAGTACATGTGGCCAGGCCAAGAAAAAAGAAGAACCTGAATGTTTGACTGGGGTTGGAGGCCAGAAGCAGCAGAAAGGGAGTAGGGAATAAGATGTAGGAGGATCTTCATATGGTACTACTAGGCTTTGTGCAGTCTGTTGCACACTGGGGGATGTGGCATTCCTCCAGACCCGTCCTTGCTTTTTTGGTGTGTATATTTCAAACGTTCCCTTAAAATCTTTTCCACAAGAAGTGTTTGAATTTCTGGAATCTTTTCTATATTTATTTTGAAATGAAAAAAATAGACAGCGTTGCAGGCAGGTTGAATTGATTTATTCATGGGACTCGGACAAGGCCAGGCTCCAAACTTGCACTATTAAAGAGCAGTGACCCTGATTGAAACGCTCCTGATTTGCACAGATATGTACAGGGCAGATGCATATCTCAACTGAACCGGCACTTTTGCTGAGAAGTCACAGAGCTTCATTGGTAAGTGCCTTCATGATACAAGCCTCACAGGGATATAATTAAGTGTGATAGAAGCCTCAACTTCTAAACATAATATAAATAGATTTGACCCTAAAACATGGTAGACACGGAGAGTAGCTATAAAAGGGATTTTCACATTGACGGTAGTTCATGCTTTGAGTAAAGGAATTCTGCCAACTAGCAGATTAGATGAGGTCACTAACAAGGTTGATCTATAAACAGTTTTCCTCAAATTAGTGGTATTGTTTAGCTTTCAGGTGTTTGGTAGACCCTGAAACTGATGATGTGATGTATGGAAATATCTTTAGGGTCATCCATGTACCGTTCCTGTCATCTTATTGCTCTGGAGGGCTGATTTTAGTGTAGTGAGGAAGCTCTTGTAGTCTTGTTTTTGTAGCCCTCTAAGGGGTAAGCTTTGAAAATGCTAATACTGGGATCAGAGCAGAGGAATCAAAAGTGTAGTCTTTAAAAAATGTAAATGCTTTATCTTTTCTGAAGGCCTGTACAGCTTTATCTTTTGAGCAGAAGCACACTGTAAAGTATTAAATTATTCTTGGACTGAACGGCAGCCAGTGCAGATGCAAAATGGTAGCCTAAGCTTGCTATGAAATTTAAAATCCGTTTAGGCTGTTCATCAGCTTGGAACAGATTTAGAAAAGCATATGAATATACACATCCACTGTTGCCTAAAGCTTTGAAGGATTCAGTGAGCATCCATCCATAGAAAAGCAGTCCAGATTTTTCAGTCACTGAGCTTAGTTATCCTGTAGCCTATCGGATGACCAAGGTTTACTGAAAAGAACCACTCTGAGGTGTTCTTTTTGGGTGTGTGAGCTTATTTGGGGGGCAGGGGAGTGGAGCAGAGAAGTTGCTTAAAAACAAACGAACAAAACCCTGCTTCTACTGAGCCACTGGGGAAAGGAAAAGACAGGAAAAATTGTATTGTATGAAGGTTGACATAGAGGCTCTCTCTCCACCCAAAAAGCATAGAAACTTGTGCTTGGGCACGGTACTGTAATGTTCTTCATAGGAGTATAACAGTCTCCCTGTTCTCCGCCCCTCATTGAGACTGGATTCTCCTTATTAATATCATCACTTCTTCTAGGTATGAAGGGCACTTCCTGAAGGAGAAGCCCGGAGGAGTTTTCCCTTTCTCTCATGTTTCCCTCAATCTGTTAATGGTTTTTTGAGGATGATTTTAAAGTTATGAGGCTTTTTTTTTTCCCCCCCTCCCTGCAGAACCTGAGTAGTTGTTCCTGATTTCAGCTGACATAAGCTCTGGGCTGTAGACAGGTTGAGTTACACCTGGGCAAATTTTGAAAGGATAGATAGCCTTCTTTCCAGTACCTTCGGGTCTGGTGTCTCTAGCATAAGCTCTTGCCAGAATCCTCTCCAGGTTTCTTTGGGAAGTCTGAGGGGAAGCTGACTTCACCTTCACTCCATTTTCTAGATGTAATTTTAACAGTAGTCGTATATATTATATAAAATATGGAACAAAGTTCTTGCAGCAGCTGACTCCAGAAAATTGGTTCCTTTAAAATTGTTGCTAAAATTATATGTTGGAGTTGGCCATTCTGAAAATTTTAGATGCCTCTCTCCCACATCTTCATAAACAGTGTTTGTTCCTCCTTTACATACCTACTTTTCATCCTTGTTCACCAGGAAAACAAAGATAGTCTGAGATGCTAATATTATGGGGCTTTTGGGACAAACTTAGGAGGAACCTCTTTTTCTCTTGCAGTCCCACTTGATGGGTTTTATCAAGCAGTCAATTACAACTTTTTTTTTTTTTTTTTAAATCACCCTCCATCCTTAT